CTTGGAACCCTCCTCCCTCCCTCATCACCAGCCTCTCCCTTCCCCGTTCTTCAAGGTCACATTCTTGGGCAAGCCTTGCCTGACCCAGCTGGATGAAGGGCACACTGGGCTTACGTTACCACGGTGGCTGTCATGCCCCTGCATAACCGCCTCTGTCTCTTTTTACGCGTTTGTGTCCCCCACAAGACTGCAATCTCCATGAGGGCCGGGGTCTGCTTACTGCTCTATCCTCAGAGCGCATCACCACCCTTGCTAGGTCTGTGAGTACCGAATAAATGAACGACGGTAAGAAAGCCCCAGCGGGGGCGCGTTGTGACGCTTCAAGGTACCCAGAGGTGTTCGGTGACACCGCGGCTTTGGAACCTAAGGGCTGTTAGAAGAACCCGTCTTACCGTCAGTTCCTCTTGCCCTTCAGGTTCTTACCTCCCTCCACCAGGATGCAGGACTCATTAACACTGATTCCCTCTTTGCTTAGGACCAGAGCTGAAGGTGGGAAGACCTAGGGAGGGTGTAGTAAGTGCCTTTCAAATACTTCGAAGGTTGTCACACGGAAGGACTTATGTGTGGCCTTATAGATGGCTTTGGAGGCAGAAGAAAGGCTAGGCACTCAGAATCACTAGAAGGCAGAGTTTTAATCACAGGAAGGATTGGGGCTGCCCCACGACCGTACGCACACCCGCGGTCCAGCCCGGAGGAGTGCACGCACAACCCGAGCGGGGATTTATCGTGTGCCCAGTCAGACCAAGATCGTTCAGAGCCCAAGATCTATTTTAATGGCGGTGAAGAGTCTGTCTGTCTGTGTCCTTTGCAATGAACCAGCTTGATCAAATGTCAGTGGTTTGGAAACTCGAGTAGCCTTCGATGTGTGCATTTAGGAAATCGATGCAAACTCAAGGTCTAGTGGAGGGGAGGCAGCCTGAGGATTTGGAAGGGCTTGAAGGAGGATCACGAACATAGAGTCTGTGCCGCTCGGATCCTGGATCCCCAAACACGCCCAGCCTTCCTGGCCTCCAAGGCATACTGCGGTCCACAGGCAGAGTCCACCTGCTCCCAGCAACTTCCCTTCCAACGCCATCTAAACGAATTGTCAAAAGCTCGTCTCCGGGGTGTGCAGAGGATGGCAGCGTATGACTGACAGCACTGTCACCCCCGCTGCCACCCACGCCGACTCAGACAGGTGTCTCTCCTGTTCTTAAAGGCCTTCAGGCAAGGAGATTCCAGCAACTACCTTCTGCCTCCTAATCAGAAGCCTGTGAGACTCCCAGAGACTTCACTGGCTCGGCTCTGCCAGCCAGCGGGCCCAGAAGCCCACCTCCGAGGCCGGCTGTGCCCAAAAGACACCAGTCTTGGGTTGGGGGAGAGTGACATTCCCCTTTGGCATCAACGTCAAAAGGGTAAGAACTTCCCCAAACGCCTCATTTCCACGATGGGTCCGCGGACTCATTGCTAAAGCAGTTTCCTCAATGCAGGCTCTCCATCACGGTGTCCAGAAGTTGACGACAACTCAGATGTTTTGACTCTAGTCCTAGAGATCTGAATTCAGTAACTCTGGGCTGTGAGATGGGGGCAGGCTTGCCAAGACGTAAAAGTCTCCCCCCAGGTGTTGTAGATACACAGCCAGTTGCTGTGCGGACTCAGTCATTTACGTCTAATACGTCTCTTGGGTGGGTATCTGTGGAAGGGACATTTAATTAGGCAACAGTAGGCCCAGTGTCCAGTCTCCACTTCACCATGCATTTGCACTGTGACCCTGGGGCTCATTTCCTAAACCTGCAGAAAGTTCATCTCCCAAGGGACTGTGAGGATAGGGGATGGGAAGGGGAAAGGATGCACTGAGCACGACCAGCCTCCTGCTGTGCCCAGGACCGTTTTCCTGGTGTAATTATCTGTAGCTCTCCCTTTCACTCTCAAAGTGTCCTCATTTGGAAGATGAATTATATGGTCCCCTTATCTGTAACATAGCAGGCCCAGGTTAGGGTATTGCTAAGCCATTGCATTAGGTGGTTATTTAATCATTGTGGAAAGTGGTATATCATTTCATTTATCCATCAACCATGGCCCTGGCCTGTAAAGCAGTGCTGCCTCATTGTCGTGGTCTGGAATATTCTAGGGATCCTCCAGAAAGTTGCTGTGCACAAGGGTGAGCGTTCAGTATCACTGTGGACCACGACATCCAGAGTTCTGGTCAGTGGACAAGCCTTTCCCTCCCTCTCCGCCCCAACTACAACCTTCCAGATAGTGTAAGTGGCTTTCAGCCTTCCTCGTACCATCATTCACGCATTCATTCATTCACTCATGCATGCATTCACTCATTCAGGCATTCATTCATTCACTCATGCATGCATTCACTCATTCGGGCATTCATTCATTCACTCATTCATGCATTCACTCACGCGTGCATTCACTCATTCGGGCATTCATTCATTCACTCATTCACGCATTCACTCACGCGTGCATTCACTCATTCAGGCATTCATTCAATCATTCATTCATTCAGCAGACATCCACTCAGGATGCCTGCCATGTGCCTGATGTGATCCTAAATGTGGGGAACAGCAGCCGGTACAGCCTCGCCCCCTGAGATCCTGCAGCCTAAGTGAGAAGACACTCAGGTAGCTGGCCATAAAGTCCGGTGGGAGTTGTGACCGAGGATGGAGGTGGGGTGCACAGGGGGCTGCAGGAACAAATGGCTGGGGCCTCTCACAGGAAGATTTTTCCTGGTGCTTCTGGAGAGGAAGTGGAATCCTGCTTCCTCTTTCTCTTCCCAATGGCTAAGTGGCTGGTAGTTCTTTCTGGAATTTAATACTTTTCCTAGCTGTAAATTTGTAACTCTGTTCCCCGGGGGGTTCACGGGCTTTTTGGAGAATTAAAGACTATGCATGAGGAAGCTTCTCTGACCTGAGAAAATGGCTCAGTGTCACAGGGTGGCAAAGCTGGCAAGGGGCTGCCAGGCAGTCGAGGTCCAAGCACGTCATTTCACTCATAATGAGCCCAAGGCCCAGAAAGGAGCTCACTTAAGAGCACCTCCGCGGCCTGAAGGGCTTCCTGGAAAAACTAGGACTTAGCACAGGCCTGCTTGTACTCTGGGTACTGCCCTTCCAGCAGTAGCCCCAGGGGGCCCAGTTCCCGTTTCCTACCCCGCCCTCCGAGGCTGTGTCCAAGGGGCGGGGCAGCTGTGCCGGCACAGCCTGGAACCCTGGGTGCTTGTGCCCGTTTGCAGCGGCTTCTGCCCGGAGCCGCAGCAGGCAGACACCGGCACCATTCACGGGGGCTGTTTGCAAGCTGCACGATCCGTGACGTGCTTTCGCGTGGGTCTCCCGGAGCAGCTGCAAGCCCTGGGGGCCGATGGGGAGGGGCTGCTTACAGCAGGCTGCACTTCGTCTGAAGTGAGACCAAGCCATACCTTGTTCAGGCCTTACACATACGCGTGATAAAACTTTTTAAAAATAGCAGGGGATGAGGAACTGAACATTCAGGATTATGTTCATTTAGAGGCAATGTGGAGGGAGGGGATAAGACGGGACCATCCAGGTAGCCGCAAAGGTATTGGTAGTATTTAAGTCCTTGAGTTAGATGGTGAGCTCACAGGGATTTATTATGTGACTCTGAATTATTTTACTTGCATTTATTAATTATAAGCATAATCATATTATATTTATTCGTAATGTATTTCTGGTTAATATTTACATTCTAATTAGCAATAGTTTATCTCTTGATATTAACTAATGTATTTACATTCTAATAATAATTAGAATTACCTTCTAGTTAATAATGCATTCTAGTTACTGTTACGTTCTAATTAATAACACTTTATTTACAATCTATGACTGAGTTAGGTGGCGAGTTCACAGGTGTCCCTTGTATTAATTAAAAAATAAGCAAAAAGTGAACTGTGCGTGATCCAATGATGGTAGTATGTCATGAACCACGAATTAGGATTAATCTAATTCTGTGCATCTGAGGTCCTTAAAAACAAAGGAGAAATACTCTTTCCTTGCTGGTCAGAGTGCAGAGGGTCTGAGTAAAGCCCACTGCCAAAGCCATGCCAGCTGGAAGATGGCCAAGATGGTAAAGACGTCTGCTACATGCTGTCATGCCAAAACCACGCTGTCATCCACCGGAAACAGATCATCTCAGGGCAAGAAAAACGCAGCCTGGAGCTACGGGGCTGGAGCCCAGGCTTTAGAGACACAGAACTCTTTCCAGAGTACCCTTGCTCCCTGACTTTCCCATCACCTGCGGCAGGGCGGGCCCTGGGGGAGGCATCACCCAGGGATGGAGGAAGTAGGCCCAGCCACCGTGGCTCCATCCCTGGCCTCCAGTCACAGGCACCGTCCTCGATCGGGCCCTTCCTCAGCCCTCACTGCCCCAACCCTCACCACTGCAAGGCTGAGTCTCACCCATCCTTCAAGGTCCAGGTAAAATATCCCTTCCTCCTGCTGGCTGTTCCCGCGCACCCACCGAGAAGATGAGCTCGTCTGCTGCTCCCGTAGGGAGGGTAGCAGCTGACAGTGACCCGGATCGGGGCTCTCTGGTCTTCCCCAGGATGAGGCGGCACCAGCGCTGGCCTGGCTGATGGAGACCAGAAGACCCTAGTCTTAATGGTCAGGAGACACCAACTCTGGAAGAAGCCCTTCTGTGAGGGATTAGGTGAAGTCTCTTGTCCGTTCTCTCCCACGAGAAAATTCCAGGCTCAGGTGCCTTCACTAAGGGATCCCAGCAAGCATTTAAAAAAGAAATGATCACTGATCCTTCAAAAACTCTTCCAGCAGTTAAAGGAGGAGGAAACACTCCCCCAACTTATCCTATGAGATCAGAATTACTCTGCTGGCAAAGTCAGAGAGAGAGAGATCACAAGAAAACAGATCTACAGACCCAGTGTCATTCATCCGTATAGATGTAAAATACATCAACAAGGTGTCAGAAAACTGGGCAACACAGACAAAGGATTAAACAACATGATCAAGTGGGATCGCTGTCACCACGTGAAAGAGGACCACTGGCACCATGGCTTCAGGAAGTGAATAATCGTATCTTCAAATTCTGGTAGAACTCACCTATCCCTGCCACGTGCACGTTCACTCAGCCCCGGCGACAAGCTCCCAATTCCCAGGAAGACCTCCCATGAGTGGTCAGGATGAACACATGCTCAGGGCAGGAATCCTAGCTTCATAAACGCATTGAACAGAGATTTGTTTAGAAATCTCGGAGCCACACCCCGCTGGGAGGAGCTAGACAGGCAGAGATTAATGAGATGTGAGCCCAGTGGTGGGGAGACCCAGGTCTGCAGAAGACGATGGAAATGTTCAGTGAATAATGGCACAGCCTACATTGGAATCCTGGGTAGTTGTTTAAAAAAAAGAGATTGGATATATCTCCGTGCGGCTATGGTGGCATCTCCAAGACACATGGTTAAATAAAGACAGGGAGCAGAGGGCAGTGCGTGTGGTGCGAGCCGACCTGTGTTTTCAAGAAAAGTGTAGCTGGATGTCGTACTCCTGTCACGGAAGATGCCACCAGCGGAGGCAGCTGGGTCTACGGTTCACAGAAATCCACGTACTATTTTTGCAACTCCTTGTGAGTCTATTATTATTTCAAATAAAAAGAAAAGAAAGTGTATATAGGCATGTAGTTGCTTGTGCACCACTGAAATTTTTTGGAAGGCTACGAAATAAATCGTGAACAAGTGTGCCTCTCAGGCATGGGATTGGGATGGATGGGGGAGAGGTCTTTTTCCTTAACTTTTTGTGCCCCTTTTTATACCCTTTTGTTATCTTTTTGTTAGACTGCACCCGTATCACTTTAAGCATGGCCATGACAGACATAAGCACAGGATGTTAGGGAGCCCCGAGAAGGAGGCCTAACCTTGACCCTAGAGGGGAGGAGGGGATCATAATACCTGAGCTGAGAGATGCAGCCTGAGCCGGAGGTGGCCAGGTGAGGAGAGGGCTGGGGGAGTTGCCGTAGGCTGAATGGTCTCCCCCCCCAGAATTCATGTGCTGGAGCCCTGCCCCCCAGGATCTCTGAATATGAACGTATTCAGAGAGAATGCCTTGAGTTAGAACCAGGCCCTTAGTGTGGGCCCTCATCCAATCTGGCTGGTGCCCTTGTAGAGCAAGGAGATTAGGACACTCACAGAGACACCAGGGATGAGCACAGAGGAAACACCATGTGAAGACACGGCGAGAAGGCGGCCGTTGGCAAGCCAAGGAGAGAGGCCTCAGGAGAAAACTCCAGAGGCCTCCAGAACCATGAGGAATACTTGGTTACAGTGGCCCCAGCAGACAAATACAGCAGGGAAGGAGACAAATCTGACAGAAGGCCCTCCTGCCCTGTGGATGGACGGCGGGTTGGGGCATGCAGAGGCCACGGCCGAGGGACTGAAGATGCCTGGGCGCAGAGAGCTGCAGGGCCGGCGTGTGCTGGGCTGCGTGTGCGGCAGCAAAGGGCTGGGGTGGACGGCACAGCGCGAAGGATGCTGAGAGATGAGGCTGGGGAAGTGGGATGGGGCCGGTCAGGGGACCAACCCCCTGCCATTTACCAGGCTAAGCAATCTGGGCTTATCTGCTACAGGCAATGAGGCACTTCTGAAGGAGTTTGGAGCACGTCAGGGACTTAATGAGGATGGACAGAAGCTGGGAAGACAGGAAGGAGACGTAGAGCCAGGTTGCAGCCTAGGGAAGCAGACGCTGAATCTGTCATGAGGCGTCCCTGTATCCTCCACCCACACAGAGGGGGCTCAGGAAACACTAAATGAACAAACGTGCATTTGAAAGGTGGCCTCCACGCCTGCCTCTCCCCACCCGACAGTTGCTCTCAGCTCTGGCCACACCAGCCACAAGTTTTTTAACCTTCTCCTCGGGCAGCCAAAACCGTGGGGACGTGCGATTCCTCCACGGCCGGAGAGGCTTAGGAGGTGCTAAGTGAGGGCCCCTGGCTGATGCCTCCGGCCCTTGCCCCACATCCAGGCCGGGGAGGTCACTTCCCACAGAGCCTTGGCACGAGGCCAGGAGGGTCTGGAAGGCCAGCAGAAGGCTCACCTGTGGAAAACCCCATTTTTTTGTGGCACTTGGTAAATTCGATATTGAAATAGGTGACCAGGGCGTGGACGTAGTCGTTGCGCTGTATCTGCAGGCAGAAGGCGGATGTGAAGGACAGCTCCTCCGTCTTCACCGTGTAGACGTCCACCTCCTGCAGCCCAGAGAAGAGAGAATGCGGACCCTTAGTGCCTCCACCGGGTCTGGGCCGTCCTCAGCTTCATTCCCCAGGGAGACTATGGATGGCAGACTCCCCAGGGTGTCATGGCTCTCGGGGGGGACTTCCCAGGCCCACCCACACCCCTCCCCATGACCTCCTCCATCCTTTCTAGGGTGGAGTCTGCTAAGGCGATGCTGCAAGCAGATTTGAGTCAGAGCCTGAGGACAACAGAATCAGGAAGGTAAATCTTCTGGGGATGAGTGCTGATGCGGGGGAGGGGAGGGGAAGAGGCTGAGTTAGAGCATCCGCAAACCCAGCCCAGACATCCTCAGAGCAGAGTCCCCCTCAGCATCACTAGTGCATCCAGCTGTTCTCAGGCTGTGGTCCCTGGAGGAGCACATTAGCATCACCCGGGGGCAAATTCCAAGGGGTGGGGTGGGGAGGGGAGGGCATCCCAGACCTACTGAATCAAAGCAGCTGTGTGGGCCCTGTCAAGCCCTCCCAGATTCCGGCAGACCTGACTACTCCTTTCCCAGCAATACGAGGTATGGAGTATTATTTCAGGAGTGAGGACCGAGGCCGCACAGTCACGGACTGAGCCTGGGGAAGTCAGCCGACCATTTACCACAAGCCCGGACAGTTAAAAAAAAAGAAAGGGGGAAGTAAGAGGTGAGAATTTTTCAGTTCTAGCTAATAGGAATGGACAACACAAGGGACTCATCATTCTAACAGTTTCAGCTGGGAAGTGGCTGCACATCAGTCTTGCGTGGGAGCGGGAGTAATGAACAATGGTTTGCAATATGGAGTTCTTTCTGCGTGAAAGAGGCTGACCTGTCGTTGGCCGGCTCCAGCGAGACACAGCAGACCTCCCAAGGCCCAGGAGGCATCCAGACCGCCTTCACTGAGGTCTAAGGAAGAACCTCCCACTGCAGGGCTGTATGGCAGAGACCTCTGTCCTGAAAGCTCTGAACGGGCCAGACAGACACCTGTGTGCCTGGAACGGTTCCCACGGGCGCCCCTGAGACCCGGATGATGGAAGATGTTGGGAATGACTAGGAGAGAGGGGTCTCCGGGTGGGGAAACAAGAGCAGCGAAGAGACAGAGACTTTTATCTCTACACGTTTCTAGGATGAATAAAGGAAAAACTGATGCAAAGCATCCTGGGGACTTCAAAGCCAAGTCCTGTCTCCACAGGAGGGCAGTGGACAGAGGCGCAGGTGAGGTCGAGGCAGCCAGCCAGCCCAGAGCCTTGTTACGGTGCGGGCTGGCAGCTGTGACCTCCTCTGACCTGTCGGTTGGGAAGACGGTGGGACTGCAGGTGCAGGGGACCGTGGGAGCCCTCGATGTCGGTGACATCACTTCAGATGCAAGCTCAAGGACGGGGAGCAGGGCTAAAGGTCCCTGTGAGCCCGGGTCAGGCGTGCAGAATTCGATGGGGTTAGAAAGCCAGTCCCCTTTTACCCCGAGAATGCAAGAGCCCTGGGGAGCATCCCCAGGTAGTGGCTGCCGTGGGCTCCTGCACTCCCCCTGGGAGGATGCACTCGCTGCCTACCAGGCAGCCAATCCTTCCCCGATGTCTCCAGCCAGTAGGTCCTGCTTCAAAACTAGCGAGCAGGGCCCACACCAGCCTCTGTAACTTCCACCCACGGAACAAGCCAACGCCCGCTCGTGCTCACGTGGGTCCCATAAACCTTTTCTGCTCCAGTATAAACTGCCTCTCCTGAGTCATGATTTCTGACGCCCTCACGCTCCCGATTTGGGACCCACTTCTAGCAGCCTCTGACCTCGAAGCGCACTCTGCCGGCGCCAAGCCCCTCCCCACAGCATCCCTCTCACAATCCTTATTTCTGGAACCCGAGTGCAGGGGGGAGGGTCCTTCATTACATGTCACCCTGTTAGTCTGGGCCATTGCCCCCACTGGGGAAATCTTTTTAGCCCCAGTACCTGTCAGTTTATGACGTTTGCCATCCCTCTCGGCCACGTGTCTGCAGGTCCCTCCAGCCCAAAAACTCTTAGAGCAGCCGTGCTTAACTGTGATTTTGTTAAGGGCTTTGGCAGAGTCCACTGGGCCGGGCTCACGCCATCTACATTCACTGACGTTTCCTCTCCGTCTCCATTGGGGCCGGCCCGCCAGGCTCCAGGCTCCTTCCAAGGTCCCTGTCCCTTTCTCTCGGGCGCCCTCTGCCACGGGCCTCGCCTGGTCTTTCCACCCTGCTTCTGGCTCATCTCAGGGGTCTCACCACCTCCGCCCCTGTCCCCACCATTAGACTGGAGCCCTGTAGACGCGGGGTCTGGACGCTATGGTCTGTGCGCCCCCAGTGAGCGATGTAACCCCTGACCCGCCCCACCCTTCTCCTAAAACTGTCTCCCTGCCTGAGGACTCTCCTTTCCATCCCCTCCCCAGGCCTCTCCTTCAGACCAACCACCTAATCTCTCTGAGATGCATTCACACTATGCCGCTCCCTGGATCTAAAGCCTTCCACGACTTTCTATGGTTTACCTAAAAGTATCCAAGCCTCTTGGCCTGGACTCAGAGAGGGGCCTGGGAAGTATACCCCGTGACTCATCTGGACCTGGTTCCCTTCTCCTGTGTCCTCGCCTCACTTCAGCACTCTCAGCCTGCACGAGAGCAGTGATGCGCCTGCACGCGCGCACACACGCACACAGAGACACCCCATCTATCAGGGATTCCGTCTCTATAGGGTCTCAGATGTCCATCAACCAATGTCAGCCACCAATGCCCTGACAGCGTTCTCTAGGTCCTATGGGCATTTGCATCTTAATAGGGCCCTCTGAAGGAACAAAACCCGTCCAGACTGAAAGTATGATCTGCGTTAGAATGGGCGCGAGGGAGGCGACTGCTGGTCTCTGGAGTGGGGAAAGGCAGTCTGTGTGGATGAGTCAGCTGTGACTGGGCCTCAGAGACACAAAGGCCTCTGGTCAGGGCCCTCCCTCCTCTCAGGCCCAAAGCGTCCAGGGGCCGACGCATTATGCTGGCCCCCAGAGCCCTGATCCCTTTGCCAGAAGGCTTTCTCTTTCAGCAGCCACCGCAGCATCTCTGAGACCCCAGCGAGACCCCTGGCTCGGCCTCAGGCCGCCCCACCAGGCGCAGGGCTCCGCAGGCATCGGTGACTCAGAGGGGCCCCAGCCGATGCTGTCCCCATCACTACATCATGTTACAAATGGACGCCTCAGATCAGAAGTCTGGTCAAAACAGAGTCTTAATTATAATAAAGTGTCACAAGCCGCAACGTTAATAGCGATGAAAATAGCAATTAAGTGTGTGAAGACGGGCAGGTGTTTTCCCAGGGAAGATGGTGCTGAGCACATTAGCGAGAGCTGACGGATGGCTCGCCTGGTGGCAGAAGCAAACACAGCCGTCCTTGCCCTCCTCAGAGCTCAGGAAGAAAGGTGACACGCATAGAGGGCCCAGAGCTCCAGCCCCGCCATACCCACAGTCCCAGGCTGCACTCAGGTGTAACCAAGGAGAGACCCTTGCCTGTTCCTGGCTGGAGGGGGAGAGTGGGGGGGGGGGCACAGAGCAGGCCAGTCTGGGACCAGCCTTGGACATGCACAAGTGCCGTGGCCACACCTACAGGGCAGGGGCCGAGAGCGACCCAGGGCCCAAGCACAATGAAGGAATCTTATCCCCACGCCACCATGGGCAGACGCCTATCGGTTCCATACACCTGCCACGCGTCATTTTGGCAAATTCAGTTGCACCAGGTGATTTCTGCTCATACTACAATATTGGCAGCAATGCTTTGCACTATGGGTGAGTTACTTGGGGTGTACTTTGCTGGATCTTGTTTGGGATGCCAGAGAGAGAGGCTTCGGGGACAGAGGGGCTGGTGGGGAGAAATAAGAGGACGTTTGCTTCTCATCAACCCTGCCTGGACTCAGAAAGGGCCGGGTTAAGAAGCAGCAAAACCCTTCGGTGCGAGGCCACGGCTTAGACTTGGAGCCAGAATCCTCAGGCAGGATGTTCCAAAAGGGAGGCGGTGTCTATCTGATGGGATCTGTACGAGGTACATCTAGTTTTATTTGTCCTCTGAGGTCCCTTTGAAATACCATGGTGACAAGGCTTGCGTTTCTTCTCGGGAAGACTGTGACCAGGGACAAGAGACCGTTCTCACCTGGACAAAGCAGCCGTTTGCATCAGTCCTGCAGAAACCTCCCCTCACCCCCGGGCTCTTCCCCGTGGCGTCCACCCAGAGTTCCCGAAAAAGCAGTGAGGTGCACAGGACCAGGGCGGGAGGGTGTGCTTCAGCAAGATGAGGGCTGGGAGGGCTGATGACAGCGGACACAGTGAACCCAGATTCTTCGATTAAAACATTAACTTGAAGCCTATGAGACGGATGTCTTTCTAGACTTTAAAAAAAGCAGTGAAATATGAAAGAGTCTTCCATCGTTAGACAGGATAGATTCGCATATGTAAATGTAGATTCGCATATGTAAATGCAGATACTTAGAAAAAGGGTTGGAAAGATCAGCTCATCCTGTGGACAGCGGTTACCTCTAGGAGGAGTGTGGGGCTGGGAGGGAGGGGAGGTCTTGGGGGGCTTTTATCTGTACCCTAGCAAATTTGGCACGTCTGGATATTTAGTGATAAGAATGCACTGGGTTAAGGACTGGTGTGCCGAGGATACTGGCGAGCTGTTCTCCGGCTGCGCTGAAGAAAGCCTTGGAGGACAAGATGTGAAGGCCCGTACCAACAAGGGCACTCAGGATGAGGGAGCTCCGTGCGGCCGGGTCAGATGTGTGCTTAGAGGTGCGGGCGTGAGGCTGCTCACACAGCAGACTGAGGTGTGGGATTTCTTGCCTAAGAGGCCAGCGCCCTCGGAATGGAGGGGCTTCCCCCCACCTGAGCATCCAGGGTGCCCTCCCTCGGGTACTCCTCCAAACCCACCCGACACCCTTCCCCCCTCACAGCACCAAGGGACATGCACCGCCCACCCCCCAACTGTGCCACGTGGAGTCCAGTGGCGCTCTCTCCCCAGCTCTGCTTAGTGACAGTGCCGGCTTTGACGGGTCACCACGAGCTGCCAGAGGCTCTGGCCAGGGTGGCCTTGCCTCACAGTTTGGGGCCCCGCAGGAGCTGGCGTGGCCTCTACTCTAGGCCCAAGCGTCCAGGTGGCACAGCCAGGTTCCCGCACACCCAGACCCGAGCAAGCCGCATCTGCAGACCTTTATTAAACAGGCATTGGTCACCACTTGCTTTGGGTCCACGATGTCTACCAGGGGCTCCTTCATGGCAACGTCCCGGATGCAGGTCATGTCAAAGCCATAGACGTTCTCCCACCCTGTGGGAAGAGAGCGAGAGCTGGCAGCAGGACCCCCAGAAGTCTCCCGACCCTCCTGAGTCCCAGAGGGTGGGGGGCAGCTTGTGTCCCCCTGCCTGAGGACAGGAGAGTTGCTTGCCTGGTGGAGAGCTCTGCAATGTGCCAGACGCTCATTCACACCGTCTCATCTGTACAGGTCCCGCTTTAGGGTTAGGAAAAGTAAAGTTCAGAGAGGCTGAGAAACTTCTCCAAGGTCACACAGCAGACTCCCACAGGGTCAGGACTAGAGCCCACATTCCTGATTCTTCTGTACCTGCTCTTCTGCCCCCTCTCTGAGCCTCAGAGTCTCCTACGAACTCTCTCCTCTGCCGTCCACATTTCTACCCCAGAGCCTTTGTTCCAGTCGTTCTCCACACCTACAAGGCCCATCTCTTTCC